GTGATCGACGGTGTTCAACGGTGGTCGACGGTGGTCGACAGAGGTCGTCGGTCGTAGTCGACGGTCGGTGGTGGTCGACGACGATCGACGATGGCGAGGATGATCTTGGACTTAAGCTCCTTCTCAAAGCCTCAAGTTCTCTCTTAAGCCTCCCCCTTTCATGTGAGGGGTGAGGCTCTATTTATAGTGTTTTGAGTGCAATTAATGCAGGAATATGAATCATTTTGATCGGACGATTCGGAGAGCTTCCCTTGATCAGATGACGTTTGATGGACATTTGAGTGCCTTAACGATGTCGGAATTGAGCAATCTTTAGCTCGTTGGATTCGTCTTTTTGAGATGCTCGATTCGACTATAAACTCGCTGGATTCGACATTTGTTTGACCTTTCAAATGCCTCCGAAAATCTCGTAGTAGTGGTTTAATGACTTGATTCGGGCCGGATTTGACTCAGATTGGACTAACTTTTATATGATTAGGTCTGTCTCATCGAGCCGATCAGTTTGACTATAATTTTGCTGAAATCGAAGTTCCAGATGACTTTTAATCAAAGTTTGAATGTCTCTTGTTCAAAAAATTGCACTGAGATTCGTGTCGGTTAATGAAAATTGTTGATGGCGTATCAATGGGAATTTTTTTAAGACATTGGAGCTGCACCTTATTGAATAATCTGCTCACGTGCTCATTAAAAATAATCTGCTAATATGCTACGTGCGGTAGCTATTAGAAATTTTTATTTGTCACACCGCTGTCATAAAACTGCCTAGGTGTGTTTTCAAAACACATAAGCTGTCAAAACGTAGTTTACCCAAACAGTTCAGTTGTGTTTTCAAAACATCACCGCATCAAATAAACTGCCCCAAACAAACTCTTATTGAATTTGATGTAAATTTCTGGATAAAGAAAACTACTGAAATTTATTTTTAAAATGTTATAATTACCCTTTTGAAAGAAAATATTGCTCTCATGTCGCTATAAGTGGTTTGTTGTTTGACTTAACTTAACCCCACTTTAAGTCAAAATAAGTATAGTGATTGAGTAAAATTTCTCTTAGCATAAAACTATGTGTTTGAATAGGGCTGTCAAAACGGCTCGTTCTTTGCGAACAGCTCGTGTTCGGCTCGTTAAGAAGCTCGTGTTCGGCTCGTTAATTTTGTTCGATAAGTTA